CACAGAACGGTCAGGGTTGGAAGGGACCTCTGGAGATCGTCTAGTCCGACCCCCATCATCTAGTCCAAACCCGCACAGGCCGTTAGGTGGGGGCCCCAAAAACACCCACCCCTCGGCGCGGCACCCAGCCCAAGCCCTCACGGGGCACCCAAAGGTCCTGCGCGCCCCCCGCAGGAGGGGGGTGATGGGCTGGGACCCCCCCACCAGAGCCGTCCCAAGGGTAGACTTTGGGGCCGCAGGGAAAATCAGGGCAGGAGGAAACGGGGCCATCCCCGATGGGACGTTTTCTGGTCTTGCCGGAGGCAGGAGAAAAAGAAAACTTGCATTTTAGATCTGCCTGAAACAGCTCTTTTTTGACCCAAAACGAGACACGCTCGCTTTGGGCTATTTAGCGCCTTAATTTATAGATAAAGATTTGGGAAGAGAAACCTCTCCATCGGACGTTGAACCTTCTCGCAAAGCAGAAAATGTCCCTGTTGGAGTAGCAAGAGGGTGGTCGTCCTGGTGGGACACCACAGGGACAGCCTCCCCTCGAGGACTGTCCCCAAGGGGTGGGAGGGGGACCAGGGCCTTACGCTGCCGTCGCTGCACGGCTTCAGATCCTTCCAGAAGGTCTGCATCTGGGTGAGGTCCACCTTGTTGAGGGGGATGGACACCTCCCCGATGGGGTCATTGCGGCTGAAGCGATCGTAGTCCAGGACCTGGAGGTACAGCACCCGCTGCACCACCTTCTCGTAGGGGAACCCTGTGCCAGAGATGGAGGGGATGAGGAGCCGTGGTGGCCATGCCAAGCAGCACCCAGTACTGATGCCACCCCGCCTTGCCCGTGCTGATGGGGACATGGCACCAGGCAGTGGATGGGGAGCAGGCAACATCACGGTGCACCTCTCGTGGCTTCGGGCCACCACGGTGGCTGGTAGCAGATTAAGTCCCTTGTGCGCATGCACCCATGGGTGCCTGCTGGAGGGAAAAGGTGTTTCCCCCCTTGTCCCCTTCATGGGATGCAGAGCAAACACCTCCAACCTGACCTTGATGGCTTGGCCAACCCGTCTCATCACCGATGGCCACCACAGTGGCTGGTAGCGGACTAACTCCCCCGTATGCACCCGCCCACGGGTGCCTGATGGGGGGATAAGGAGCCTCCCCCGTGTCCTCTTCATGGGATGCAGAGCAAACACCTCCAACCTGACCTTGATGGCTTGGCCAACCCGTCTCATCACCGATGGCCACCACGGTGGCTGGTAGCGGACTAACTCCCCTGTGTGCACCCACCCACGGGTGCCTGATGGGGGGATAAGGAGCCTCCCCCGTGTCCTCTTCATGGGATGCAGAGCAAACACCTCCAACCTGACCTTGATGGCTTGGCCAACCCGTCTCATCACCGATGGCCACCACAGTGGCTGGTAGCGGACTAACTCCCCCGTATGCACCCACCCACGGGTGCCTGATGGGGGGATAAGGAGCCTCCCCCCGTGTCCCCTTCATGGGATGAAGAGCAAACACCTCCAACCTGACCTTGATGGCTTGGCCAACCCGTCTCATCACCGATGGCCACCACGCCGGCAGCTCGAGCTGAGCTGATCCAGCCCGGGAGGGAGGACAGAGGGTCCTACAACCGCTCTGCTCCCACCCCACTCCACTCCAGACCATCCCAGCCCCTACCTTCGAAGAGGAAGGTCTCGTTCCAGTGTGGGTTGAGGTTCTTCCGCTTCACCTTGGTCTCCAGCTTGTGCTTCTTGTCGGGGAGCAGGTAGATCTTGACAAAGGGGTCGCTGGTGCCGCTGAAGTCCTTGGCCGGCAGCTCCTGTGCCTTCATGATCTTGACGGTCAGGGTGGACTCCTGGAAGTTGTAGCCGACGCTGAACTGGATGCGGCCCAGGTTCTCCCGGCTGACGCCGTCGTGGCCCTCGTCATCCTCGGAGCCGGGGGAGAGCTGCGGCGGAGGTGGGAGAAAGGTGGTGAGCACAGCGCCGGGGTGCCACCAGGAGGGTCTGCACACCCCCGTCCCCCCCAGTTTCGACACCCAAACTCGGTTCACACCAGCACCCGGCCCCGCGAGCTGTCAGGGGGCATCAGCTTCTCCACCGCCATCGCCTCAGACGACTCCTGGCTCGGCGCCACGCGTCCCGGCCACGGGGAGCACCAATTAGCCAAATTCCTCCTGACAGCCCGTCCCTCATGTCTCCGGCACCTCTCCCTCATGCCGTCCCCGGGGTGGGGGTGGGGGGGAAACAGCTACATCGCCTTGGCTGAGCCGCGGCTGGGCCCGGCCGCAAG